CCGGACGGACGGAAAGCCTCCACCTGTGCACGGGGGCGCAAAAGGAACACAACCCCTCTCCCCCCTGGGCCCACGCCGGTTGCCGCGGGCACCACCAACAGCACTCGACGCAGGCGAAACCCAGGAGACAGAGGACAGTAAGCCTTCGAAGCCCACAACCCAAACGCAGCGGAACCACGACGCAACGCGATCCGTTAGGGTGTGCAGCATACCGAGACCATGGGATGGGGGACACGACGGGCACACGCGCGCATTCCAAAAAGTCGGGCGGATGACGGGCCCAGCCTCGTGACGCCGTCGGAGGGTGCATCACGCATCCCACAAGTCTCCGCCCTCGCATACGGTAAGCAGCGAGTGCATGGCCGAGGCCACCTGCGCCACCGCTCAATGGCGCCGCTCGGATGGCGAAGAGCGCAGAGCGTCCTCACCAAGTCGTGACACCCCCTCAACACAAACGGAACGCGCCGTTGTGAGTGCGGACACGAAGACGGCACCACAACAGAGCCGCAACAGCTCTCCCCGCAACCTACGGGACGATGGTGCCGAAGCTGAGAGCCGGTGACGGGCACCTCTGCCTCCACACCCTGCAAACGACCGCCAACGGGACCGCCGTCGGCGATCAGGCGCCAATCATCGCAAGACGATGAGCGAGGGTGAACGCAACGATCCACAACCCGGCACCACGGCATAGGAAAKCCCCGACAGCCGCGACCGCCGCCAACGACGACCGAGCTGTCGTGAAAGAAGCCCTCCGAGAGAGACGAYCATGGACCCGAACGGCGCCGCAAAAATGTTCGCTCGACCACCAAAGCACGACTCGCCCATCCCTCGCAAACTGGAAACCACCCAAAGCGTGTGCAGAGAGTCCCCCGTAACTCGAGTACAAGGTCCAAAAAGCCACGCCCGGAACGTCGCCTTCGTYGACTGCAAGGGGGCTGCTAAGCACGCAGTCCTTCCTTCCTCCTCCTTTGTCTCATTCTCCCCCTTTTCTCTCCCCTCTTTCTCTCATTACTGTTGGGACGAGTTTCCAACAGCTATTTCTTCTCTTTCAGACTGTTGGACCTTTCCCAAGGTCTGATTTTGCAGCCGACAGATGACCGTTACACCCCGGACTGCAGTAATGGCACCCCCAAGATCCAAGGGGGCTCCTTTTTGCTGCCGCTGCTTCCAGATCAAGGCTGCCTTGCTCCGATTTTTCTCCGGCCAGCCTTTTCTCCACGTGGAGCCCTTGAAACTTCCCCTTCTTTGGCCTGGCTGGTCTGGGATAGCCTGGGCCGCTAACCGGCCCTTCTTGCCGCCGCTACTCCCTTCTTTCTTCCCCCCGACGCTCTCCGTCCGCGCTTGTCGTGGCGACACTTAGTATCCGTCCGGCCACCCGGCCCGGACGGTGCCGCCCGCAGGTGTTGTTCCCTTGGCATTTATTTTTATCGTTAGCATATTTTAATCTGGTTTCTCCTGGGACCTCCCAGGCTCTCCCCGCCTTTCCCGTGTCGGGCCCGCCTCTTCCGTTACGGTGACAGTTTTTTCCGTTGGTGTTCGACTCCTCATTTTCTTATTATTTTCCTAGTCCATTCTCTTTTCCTGTTGCCGTCCCAGACGGCGGCCTGTTCCCCTTTTGGATCGTCACGCGTCCCCACTTGCTCAGACGTCTCTTGTTCCGCCGATAGCTCCTGGCGCTGGTCCCGCTGGTACCTGTCCTGTCCCGTCGATGGTTCCGCCGGCCCATACTCATCTACTTAGTCCCCCGTGGTCCTTGTTACTAGTCCCGCTGTAGTACCATACTTTTTGCCTAGTCCTACGTGGTCCCTTGACGCTTTGTCCCCTCGGCACTACATCTTTTCTTGGTGCCCTGTGGCCCCCGGCACTTTGCCCCGCCGGTGCCACATCTTTTCTTGGTTCCTCTGACATCCTCCCTTCTTTCGGCGATCTCTGCTCCCTGCTCCTATTGCGCCTCGCACGCTGTTCCTCTCCGGGTGCTGGTTCCTGCCTGTCCTACGGTCTCCTTGGCCCCCCTGCCGTCATGTCACGCCARCGCCTTGCGCCCTGTCCCTTGCTACTTTCTCCCTTCCCTCGCTGCGCACCTCTTACGTTGTTACCAACTTCCCGGCGACCCTCCTCCGTCCTTGGGGAGAGTGTCGCCCTTGGTATTCTCTCACAATCCTTCGCTGCTTCCCACTTAGACAATTCCTTTTTCTAGTTTGGGGGACCGGACGACTCCGGGCAGCGTCTAGCCTCTTACTATTTGTGCTCATGCTTCCGCTCTGTCCAGCATACCTGCCTCCGGTTTTCTCTGTCGTGCACAAATTGGTCATATACAATCTTTCGAGTGACGGGAAGTCATTCGGGACTCACCAGTCCCGACACCGGGTTCATGCGCCGGGCAACGACATGGGGTAGTGGGGCTGGCGGGGCACAACGAGGAGGCGCGTGGTTGGCTCGACAGCGGTAGATGAAGTAGATAGTGCAGCGAGGGTGAGGGTCGTGTCGGGCATCGCTGCGTAGCAGCAAGAGACGAGCACGGTAAGGCATAAGCGGAAAGGCAACGGACGGGGGTGAACCTGGACGGAAACCGGGCTAGGTGCGCTCGGCCGGGAGATGGCAAGGAGGAGCGAATGTTGAAGGTTTCAGTTCTGTCGCAATGGCTTATGCCGAGCCGAAGAGCGATCGTGGAAGTTCTGGCGCAGGGCGAGTCAATCGGCATGGTTAGTTGGCACGGTAGGGGACGGTGTACGGAGTTGTGAGGAGAAGTAATGCGCGGGAGGTGTGTAAAGCGGACGTGGTAGGGGCAAAGAAGCTAGCTCTATCGCTCGGATCGTGACGAGCCCGGGCTAGAAGAGACGCTGAACGGGGGTTTCCGGGACTGGCGAGTCCGGACCTAAAGCTAGAATAGAGAGAAAGGTTAGTATGAGGGAAGCCAGACGAGAGGGGCGTTTTGCGGGGGTTGCGTGAGGGAGAGAATAGAGGGGCGATGATGTATCTGCCCATGATCTGGCAGAAGTTTCATTCCAACCTAACTGTTTTATCGGGGGGAGGCTAGCCGTTACTTGGTATTAGCAGACGTGACTGTACAAGGGGCGTACCTTGCCGAGTTCTAGCGGGAAGCTTGTTCCCGACACAGCAGTCCGGTTGGCTAATGGAGTAGGTGATGCCCGGCGGTCAAGGCTACGGAGATCATTGTGGGGAGAATCGAACCCCGCGGATTACGAAGAGGAAGCTTATACATCGGGGAGGGGGGTGTTGCGAACACGATCGTGTGAAGTTGAGCGAATGGATTGCTGGTCGTCGCTTGTTGTAATGCCTTACCGCTGAGAGGGCGGTGTCCACTATGGCTGTTGGGTATGGTTAGCCCGACTGAGCTTCTCGGTGCGTCGTGACTGCCTGACGGCTATTAATCCTGTCGAGTGGGTTGTCCTTGACTGAGCTGCTGAGGGCGGCTTGTGGCCTCGGATAAGGCACTGGTACATGCGCCATCTGAGGCTAACCTGTACTACATGGGCACAGTTGTCCAGATGATCCGGTAGATTGGACAATTAGTAGTGCAGGGGTGGGGAGCTATAGCAAACCCCCGAGTCCTCTATGAGACGTCCCCACCTCGTTCCGACTGCGAATTTGATTATTACTACTGCTAAGCCTGTTGGCGGGGTGGGTGTTGTTCAGGCAGAATGCGGTTGAGATAAAAGGTAAGGGGTGACTGTGTGGGGCTGAGGGAGACTGCTTTGAGGTTTGCGGTTGGGTCTTACGGCATTGGGCAGTGCCTATAGTCGTAGGGAATACCACTATATTTCGGTTCT